GACCGAAGGCCTGTGCACCAATTGCAGGACAAAAAGGTGGGACTAAAAGAAAGAAGAGAAGTCACCAGGGCTAAGCACACTCACCGTTTGTATTGCATGACAAAGCAGTGTCAGATGTGCCATCTTCGGCATGTCTTGCTTCCCGCCATAAAACAGAGGGAGGAGGGAAGTAAGGAGGAAGGGGTGACAGGAACCAGAGGTGTCAATCTGGAATGACCTGGCTGATCAAGGATGGAGCTATGAGAGCGGAATGCAAAACTCTACCAAAGAGGTGCCAAACTCCAAAGCGGTTTCCAAAACATTGGAGAAATACGATTGGACGTTGATGGACTGGTCAAGGGGGGGGGAGGGCCAGGGAGATGGGAAAAGAGTGGGCTTTGCATGACAATATCATCAGATTCAGCTTTGCTTATGCTGTAGCTGCTTGACTATGTTGAACCCTTCACTTCAACTAAATGGGAGTTTGAAGGTCTTTCCTAAATGTCCGAGTTGGGACAAGCCTGACACACAGACAAAAAGGCCCTTCTGAACAAAGAGAAGTGGGTATTTGAACCCCGGGATCAATCAATGAAAATAGTAATGAAAAGCTGCTCCACAAGGAAATGGTATCATGTGTAACGCACAACCCACTTGTGAATTTGCTGCTGCAAGGAATGACAAAGGTAACTCAAGTTGGCTTAAAATAGAGGAAACATCCCCTTTATCCTGGACTTCCTGCACTTGTGTGAACGTAAGAGGCAGAATGCATCCGGCCAAGAGAAGGCCCTGATCTGGGGCCCTCTGAGTATGCTGGGACTTCAGTCCTGTAGAATTCTGTATCCTAAAGGAATTTGAGAGTAGCCGTTTCCACCTACACAACAGACCTCAAATTGGAAAAAGCCGATACAGGAATTTGGGGAATTAGGACAAACAGCAATGGAGAACCAGATGGCCACCTGTTACGAAGCAGCCTGGAGTATCAATACCCATCACAGCAAAACAGAGGCTCGGAGAAGCTGCCGTCTTCACTCTAACGACCAGCCCCCAAACAAACAGAAGTTGAACTTACACAGCAGCAAGCCGTGACTGTGATCTGGATGGTGTTCCTGCCGGGCTGGCAGACCTGCTTCAGGTAGAGGGGTTTGTGTGAAGTCTTGTTGTCTCCCCGCTCGATGGTCAGAGGGGTGGCATTCACGCTGACCTGGACTGAGGCTGGCCAGTTGGTGTTCATTTGTCGGTCCTCGTGATGGTAGCATTTAAACTGCAGCTCTAAGTCAGGCCTGAGAAGCAGAGAGGAACCACAAAATGCCTTTCTAAAGAAAATACTCATGGTGCCTCGGAGAAGGCATGGAGACCCTGGGATATAAGAACTTTACAATGGGAGGAAACTCTGGTATGGTCTCTCGTCCCATCTCTTTTGGCCGTGAACCTGTGGTCCTCAATTCCTGCTGAGAACTGTGTTGCTGGAGCGTAATTCCCAACAGCCCTAGAGAAGAACACTGCCAAAAGCGATGGGTGCTGAGAACTGTAGTGGCTCAACAGCAGAGTTCCTCAACCCTATTGTAGAGTTCTCCCTGGGAATGCATGGCAATTGCTGAGAATTCTGGGAGTTGGACTCCTCTCACCTTTAATTTGCCAGTGGTGAGAAACACTTCCCTAAAGCGACAGGGAAAACGTTGTTTTTCCCAGCTAAGGGAAGTTCCTTCTTCATCGGTTAAGATGTATGAAAATGGACAGGACATAAATTCAACAAATAAACTGAAATGAAGCCATTAACAACTAGCTGATAGCTACTGCTGTTTTCCCTTTGATTCGCTACTGCTTTTCCTCCACTGTTTCTCAGCTGTCAAAGCAAATCCTTGAATAACCTCACTTGCATTATTGGTTTTTTTTTTTCCCTCCAGAATATTTTCATCTCTTCCCAGAACTTTCATCTATCTGGGAAAGAGCATCTAACGGAGTTCAAATGATTGCCAGGTACAGCCCAGAGACTCAGAATAAAGCAGAACCTGTTGCTGCTTTTTGCAAAAACAGCCAATTAAAATGTTCCACCTAAAGGTGAACTGGATGATTCTCAGAGTTCTCCTGAAAGAAGATATGGACCAACGCTGTAGAAACAACAGGGGGGGGAAATGTGCTACTGTACAGAAAGGTGGACTTGAGATCATAAATAGGTCCCGTTCAAAGAACCTTTTGTGGTTTTTCAGAACTGTTGACGTTAGGAGGCAAAAAACACAGTTCAGAGCTTTGCTCTTTTGCATTGTTCCAATGTGGGCTCAAAAGCAATGAATGGAGTAAATTCTAGTTTATCCCCCTGCTCCCAGCTCACCACTAAAAAAAAGAACCATGCAGTATTCTGGATTCAGCTTTCGACTATCTTTCAAAAGCTGCCTATTACTTAACGATCAGGGCGGCAGAAGCCAATTCTAGGTTAGAGAAGGAACAAGGTGATACGTTTACTTAATAGCATGGACTTAGGGAAATCATCACAGGGTCTCACCTGAGCATCAGGGTCTTGTAAACAGAGTCCCGGAGCTGGAAGACGTGGTTGCTGACCGCCAAGTTGTGCTGGAGGCGGAAAGGCTCCAACACGACACCATCCCTTACAGGGAAGGTCAAACGCAACTCATCGCAAGGGTTTCCTGGTGGGACAAGAAAAGAGAGTGGGCTGATCATGAGCGGGAGGTGCACAGCCATAGGTGCAGGGATGATATGGGGCAGAGGAGCCAAGGCAGGCGTGGAGGGAGCCAGGCTGACCCAGCAACAGGGGACGTAGTAAGAGATTGGCTGGGCCGTGGGGCATGGCAAGGGGCAGCCAGGTGGGAAAGTGCCGCAGGTGGGGTGAAGAACAGGCCTGGCTTCTGCCGTGACTCCACCAGGGCTGTCGTTTCCTTTCCTCCCCCTAATCCTGTTGAATTCTGCAAGCATTTGGGAAACGGATTTTGGCATTCGCTCTCCTTTCTATTCCCACTGCAAGTTAAGGAAGTCTCTCAAGATTTTCCCCCTCCCCCAGCATCAAACTGCCATTCCTTAACTGCCACGGAACACGCCTCGCCCCCAAAATTCCATTGCTCTGCAAGTGGTCCCAAATTCAAATCTTGGCCCGGAGAGCCCAGCCAATATGTAGAATCCAGAGGGGAAATTTCTCTCCAGGACTCAACCATTTTGAGTTGAGGGGTGCGTTGTACAGACACACCTGTGTGAACTGGGTGCCTCGTTTTTCAAATATCTTTTGTGGAAAGGTGCCTTTGCTCCTTAAAAAAATAACGAGGGAGACATCCTGAATGATTTTTTTCTTGCTAAAAAAAATATGTGTGTTTTGCAAAACGGAAGTGGTACAGTCAAGAAAAGCTTTGCCACTTGAACGCTATGTTGGTTTTCTTTATCTTATTGTGTGCTACCCCCAAGTTTCACAACTGAGATGATCTACAAATATTGTAAATGGAGTAAATCAATTAACCAGTGAATTGTCATTACTAAATGATGTCTCATACCCTCTTTAGCTGGGAGAACCCATAAACCAGCCAGATTGGAAGGGCTTTCTCAGCGTCTAAGACTTACCAGATGGAGAAGGATGCAAAGAACCCATGTTGGGAGATGGAGAAGGATGCAGAGAATTCATATTAGGTTTGATGTCTGGAAGGAATGGTGACTTCACATCCTGTCCTGGGGACATGTAGGGAGGGATATTACTTCCAGGGGTCATCGGAGGTGTGGGGTTACCAGGTAAAGGAGAGCTTGGATAACCAGGCATAGATCTTCCCGGCTAAAAAGAGAACAGAATTATAACTCAGACGTTATCAACTCTTATGAACCTTCAGCCCACTTTCTAGTAAAAATAATCCCAAAACTTTACACAGTGGAGTTCAAGTTGAAAGTCCTCTGAATATTGAACCAGGAAAAAGAGGGCTGCCTTTACATTTTACTGAATGCATATTTTTCAAACTAACATCCTTGAGATGAGCTCATGGATACAAAAGGAGTGGGGAAAAATCGGCAGGACTGTGTGCTGAAGCTTCCTCGCCTTTTTTGTGTGTGTGTGTGTGGGTCTCCCTCACCCAACCATTATTGCCCAAAAGGATTACAAATAGTCCTCAACTTGTGACCACAATTGAGCCCAACATTAATGTTGG